GTGTATTTAATAGGGAAAGTTCCTGGTAAAATTAAAATGGGTGGGTCAGGGAGAGTGTTCTGGGCAGCCTGACGCAGGGACGGTACCTGTGGCACTCTGGCTTTGGTGTGGTCTGGCTTTCATCGGTATTCAGGATTGACTCATTCTTTTTTTCCTTTTCTGGGCAGGGAACCAGTACAGCTAGAAGTCCACTAGTTAGGATAGCTAAGGTGTATGCACCCAAGATTCCCTTCTGGTTTCAGCAGAAATCCCTTTTTGTAAAAGCACATGAACTTTCAGCATGGTCATCTGGAATCTGTCCTTGTTTTTCTTTACCCCACTACTCCATCTTCTCCCCCACTTTTGTATGTGTGTGGGGGTGTTGCACTTGAGGCTTGTAAGTGAGCTATTTTGGTGTTCACACCCAAAACTGTGACCCAAAAACTTACCAGTAACTTTCTCACAAATTCCTTGTCCCGAATTTACTTCTTGTCCTTTTAAGAAGTAGCCACATAGTGTGTCCAGAAATGCATCTCCCAAGTTTACAGTCCAACTGACATTCCCATTCTGATGCTGGGCAGTCACCTCTACTATCACAGCCATCACTGCACCTTTTTGCTCACTCTCTGGCATCAAGAACAGCATCAGGGATGTTGCTAAATTTCATACAAATGTGTTTTGTGATGGGGTCCATTGGTAGCTTATGTTGCTGCTCTGACAGAGACCTTTATAGCAGGAGAAATAAAGAGTCTAAATATGATAAAGGTGTTGTGTCCCAATTTCTGAGCAGTGTGCTACAGTGGTGCTAACCTGACCAAAAGTCCGCAGGAAGTAGCAGAATTCTATTTGCCCCCATTTTAGAGATCTGGAATCCAGGCACATTGTAAGATTAAGTAACTTCCCAAGCCATGGCAGATGTTCCCAGAAAGAAAAGAAGGCTCCCTTGATCCTAATGAGCCTTGTTGCCACAGCATGATGTTTTTCTCATGTAGCATCCGGCACAGCTGAGGTGACACAGGATTTCCTGCACTAGGAACTTGGAAATAATACACGGGGGCACAGATTTCTGAGAGAAAAGTTTCAGTTCTGTACTTTTCCCTTCTTTAATTATGATGCAAAATCAACCTTTCTTTTTGTTTGTTTGTGTTTTGTTGTTTTTGTGTTTTGTTTTTTTTATTTTTTTAATTGAATGCAGCTTGTCATGGAGCTAAAGAGGCATGAACTGCTCTGAACGAAATCGGATGGAAAACTGCCCTCTCTAATAGTGGGACAAGAGTTCAAGTGTCTCCTGAACACAGCAGTACAAGGCTTTCTGCATGGCAGTGGAAATGGCTGCCACTTTTTTTGGAGGAAAGGAAGGGCACCAATTACAAAAAGCTCTCC